AGACTTGGATTTGAAATATATATTTTTGGATGCCAGGATCTTTGAATGACATCAATGTTGTTCAACGGTCACCACTCATGAATAGGATTGCAAATGGTGAGATGCCACCGTTGCAGTTTGTAGCAAATGGCCATACCTACAACTATGACTACTATCTTACGGATGACATCTACCCAAGGTGGCAAACATTTGTGAAGCCGTTGACGGCACCGCAAGTTAAGAAAAATCTTGGTTTCCACAATGCTCAAGCAGCGGCTAGGAAAGATACAGAGAGAGCTTTTGGGATTTTGCAAGCCTAATTTGCTATCGTGAGAGGACCGGCTAGATTTTAGGATCAAAAGATCCTTTGATACATCATGAATGCTTGTGTGATCATGCATAACATGATCACCGAGAACAAGCGCGGGCAAGATTTACACTATTCTCAGTATGAGTTGATGGGACACCTCGTGCGAGTGCGGAGGAGGGCTGAGAGGGTGGCTCGCTTTTGTTGCCTCCTATCATGTCATTCGATGTGCCGAAACACATGATGACCTTCAAAAGGATCTAATTGAGGAGTGATGGTCCTGGAATAGGCGACAAAACTAGTTTGATGTTGTATGTTTGTTGTCGACCACCTCGCCTACGCCTGCGCCTGCGCCTGCCCCATTCTCTGGAAATGAATTCCCGGAGCGCCTGGAAAGCTTGCAGTCGATGATGATCCGAAATTGGTCTGGGGAATTGATGATAATCGCGGCTGACAGACAGGTCAAGGTCGTTCACATTATACTCTATCTTGTTTGGCATTGCGATAATATCCCCAGTCTGTTGCTGTTGCTGTCTGGGCGTCCCTATCCTTTCCCGCTTCTTTTCGCTGTATCAATCCGGAAGAGGTAAAAGCACCCGAAGTACCCTAACTTGCATGGGATGTGATGTTTTAGTCCCAAACTTGCACAATGCAACTCCACCATACCCTAACTTGCATTGGATGTGATGATTTAGTCCCCGGCCTATCACAGAGTGACAAGTGACAGCCAGGTGGCTGGACAGTCATCCTCTGCACTTTTGCAAAAAACACCCTACCGTTTTACCTAATCAACCCAAGCTACAGGAGAGCACCTGAATTAATTCTCCCTGAAATCCACTGCGCGTCCGAGGATATAGTTGTTGTCCATTCAATTAACATTAGCACGACCATTCAATGAACGAGGAGCTGGGCCAAGTATACACGATTCTCACGGATAAGACTGGGACTTTGAGAGTACGTATAATGTGCAGTATAATGTACGAGAGGCTGTCAAACTCTCAGAGTACGTATGGTGAAGCGACACAGAAGCACATAAATGATTACGCTGATGCTGGCCTGAGGACACTAGTTCTTGCATACCGTCAACTTGAGGAGATCGAATACACTAAATTCGAAAGGAACTTCACAGCAGCTAAGAATTCTGTCAGCGCTGATCGGGATGAGCTGATTGACAAAGCGACAGATTTGATAGAGATGGATTTGATTCTGTTTGGAGCCGCCGCCGTTGAGGACAAGCTGCAAAAGGGGGTGAGTAAATCTTATCTTCTTTCATGCTGTAAAATGGAACAGTTCAAGACTTCTCTTTGGTTTGCGCATGCTAATTTCCCTTTTTCTAGGTACCTGACTCACTGACTGCATCGACAAACTTGCTAAGGCCGGCATCAAGATATGGGTGCTGACAGGCGACAAGACGGAGACCGCCCTCAACATCGGGTATAGCATCTCTCCTAGATGTTTTGATGCTTATAGCGATATTTGGCCAATTTTATGAACTTAAAATCAGATGCTCTTTTTCACAGATATGCCTGCAGTCTACTCAGACAAGGGATGAAACAAATAACCATCACACTGGATACACCAGATATCATTGTCTTGGAGAAAGGTGGTGACAAAGGAGCCATTAATAAGGTAGGTAAAGTATATTGCAGATTATAGTTACCGAGTCCTCTGTCTAGTACACTGACCAATTCTTATGTAGTTTATACTATCTATGTGTTCATTTTCGGTTCTGTAGTGCATTACGTTTGGTAACAAATTAACTACATAACTGCCTGCATATTGATCAAACACTGGTTTGTTTCTCTTGTTTTTTGACATGGAACACTCTTATTCCATTTATGACACGGCTGAGATACTGGTTACATAACGGGTTACATCAGCAGGAAAATTGTCCAACCACAAACGCATTTCAGCATTAGCTAATCCTGCGCCCCTTGCTGCCAGTACATGTGATGGCATGTTACAGTCACGCGAGACATGGACTACACTTGTGCTAATGAATTGTGAATTGAGTTTGGCCTTGATATCTCGAAACATTTGTCCCAGTGGAGCAAAGTCATAAGAGTTGGAGGTCACTGCTTGCTGCAAGTTGAGACTGTCAGTCTCAAAAATTACCCGCCCCACGCCCAGTTGGTCAACTAGCTGAACAACATGTGAGAGGGATATGGTTTCAGCATGTAGAGCATCAGAAACGTCATCAGCAGATCCTGCTGCCAGGAACTTAATGTCTGATTCCGAATCTATGCAAATCATACCCCACCCTCGATGGCCCAAACTTGCGTTAAATGAGGCGTCTACATTGATCTTAACACAGTCTTGTGGAGGGGTCTCCCATCTAGTTTGCGTTGATGTGTGAGCTACTTTTTTCGACGCGAAGAATTCCATCCAATCCCTGACATGGCGTCTCACGGCAAACTGAAACGCATCAACCTCCATTCCTTTCCTTCCATGATTTCCCCCATTCCGTTCAGACCACCACTGCCAGAGGCAAGCAAGTGTCAGTAATTTCTTTTCTTCCGGCAGATCAAAAAATGTCTGGAGAACTTGTTTTGGATTGGTGAATTGGACTAGCTCGGATCAGACATCATCAAGTAGCAGGGCTCTCCAGCGTTGTTTTGCTAGTTTGCATTTGAAGAATAAATGGCCTCCATCCTCAAAGTATTTCCCGCAGACTGCGCATCTAGTGTCCAGATCAACACCACTCCTATTTTATATTCATATAAGTTGGGTGGCTGTTGTGTGCAAACCTCCACAGAAAATGGTGCACTTTTGGCGGGCATCTAATCTTCCATAAAGAAGAGAACAACGATGAAAACTAGTCCTCCTTATCTGAACTTTGGCCAGCCTGCTTGCTCGCCTCCCTTTTAAGCACTACAACGTGAATCTTATATGCGGATTTGACTGAAAACAGACCCTTATTATCGAAGTTAATGCTAATGCTAATGCTATCTGCAGTGCAGTTTCAGTTAATTGAATGGTCGTGCTAATGTTAATTGAATGAACAACAACTATATCCTCGAAACGGGCGCGAAGTGGATTTCAGGCAGAATTAATGCAGGTGCTCTCCTGTAGCGCGGGTTGATTATGAAAAACTGTAGGGTGTTTTTTGTAAAAGTGCAGGCGATGACCGAACCAGCCACCTGGCTGCCACTTGTCACGCTATGATAGGTCGGGGACTAAATCATCACATCGAGTGCAAGTTGGGGTATGATGAAGATGCATTTTGCAAGTTTGGGACTAAAACATCACATTCCATGCAAATTAGGGTACCTGGGTGCTTTTACCTCAATCCGGAAGCACCCATCCATCAATCATTATCTACCATCGTGACAAGGTGATCTCGCAGTAAGATCTTGCACGATGTGTCTGCCCCCCTTTGGATCCGCAGATCCACGGCAGCGTTGGCCTCTCTCTGTCTGTCTCTCTCATTTACAGCTGCATTTTCACCAGTGATCCGCGGCGCTGTCACCGAAAACGCATGAGGAGGTGCGCGCCGTGGCAGCGCCATCCAGACACAGCACATACTCCTATCTATCTACCCCAACCCCCCTGCCAAACCGATGACCCGCACGTTCCAGCTTGCACGCACGCAGACGGCTGCTCGATCGACCGGGCACCGAGTCGAGAAGCAGATGGGTGATCTGATCACGGGTTAGGCAATGCACGCGACAAGGATCGGCTTCTCTTCCCTTTGACAACCCACGCACGCACGTAACCTGGGCGGATGCAACGGCCCCGTGATGAGGGTAGTAGGTCTTGGCTGGCGTCGACGAGGACGCATCATGCAGCATGCCCTGCCCACCCCGGCCGAGCATTAGCATCGGCAAGCAGCAGGGCAGGGCGGTGCACATGGCAGTGCAAGGCGGGCAGGGCACCTCTCCCTATCCCTATCCTCGCATTCATGGCGACAACAGTGCAACATGCCGCATGCGTGCTCCGCCCGGTAACTCGTCTATCTATCTCCTGTTGGCTCGGCTTTTTTTTTTGAAACGAATGTTGGCTCGGCTTCGTTCAGCTACGACTCCATCATCACCTCGGCTGGCCCGACTTCAATCCTCCTCCTTTTCTTTCTTTTTTGCGAGAGACTGGCCTGACATCACTCCTGCCTCTGCCTGCCAAACACACATGCACAGAACGGGGGCCGGCGCCCATGGCGGATCGGCCGGTGTGCCGTATACCAGAACTTGGGATTTCTGCAACGACTTTGCCGACTAGCTTTGCTTGCCGTTTACGAACGCGGAATTTCGGCAACCCTTGCTTTGCTTCATTGCTTCTACTCTCCGGCATTATTGGTGAGCATGGAGCAGACTCTCGACATAATCCTCCGAGAATATCGGCCGGGCACGGAATCACGGATCAATTATCGCTTCGCGGTACAAATGTACTGCTCAAGTCCACTAGTAGGTCACAAGCAAACCATGGTTTGTACTCCCAACATGATTGGAATTTGGAATTGCTATAGCACAGTCGTACCATACAGCACCAAACTTGCCTCTGCTTTGGAAGCAAAAAAAAGGGTCTTAAAAAGAATGAAATGTAGCAATGCAATCTTCAGATTTCCAGACATCAACAAATCGCTTGAGTCGCGGTTAAAAAATTCGTTACATATAATCAATCTACTTCTCCATTGAGCAGTAGTGAGTAGTGTATATACATTAGTGCTGTTGTCTTCATGACCACAGTCACAGGGCAGCACCGTCACCAGCTAGGCTGGCTACTCCTGCCCCGCGCGCCTCACCAGCGCGGCCGGCAGGAAGGGCGCGGCGAAGCACGGCTCCACGCCGGTCCACGACGGCGGGGCGTCGGCCGTCCCCGGGGGCCCCGACAGCACCGCCACGCAGAGCTCGGCCAGGCGCCACATGGCGCTGCGGAACCATCGGAGCTTGATCCGACGCCGGAGGCCGCAGAGGCCGCGGACCCCGCCAGCCCGTGCGCCGGCACCGTCACCGCCGTTCCCGAGCCGGACGACGTGGACCTTGCGGCGCAGCCCGTGGCGCGGCAGGCGGAAGCGCGCCGGGGAACGGCGCGGCGCCACCACGCTGCACGGCGCCTCCCCCATTCTTCTCCTTCTTCTTGATTGGGCTTTTGCTTTCTTGGTTGGTGCAGGCAGAGGCAGTACAGTAGCCTCAGCTCGACCGTGGTTTCTGTTTTCCTCGGCCCCTCTCGTGTTGGCGTGTGGTATATAAAGAGGGCGGGAGGAGGAGAGGGGATCAGGGGATGATGGGCTGTGCGTTTGGTGACTTGCTCTGCATGTGCATAGCTCTTGATGAAATAAAGTGTACTATATTAAGATGCTTGTTGGCAAATGCTGTTACGCTGAAATGACAATATGAACATGCATGAACGAATCTTGGGAAAAGAACATACGTGTGGGTCTCTTGGGATATTGGTAATCAATTCGATTAGAATTGAGGCAGTTCAGATGTGTCTTTGAAAAGAGCTACTGATAATTGTACTGAGTTTCACCAGAAGGTGACTTTATACATACCTGCCTCTCTTTGTTTTTTTTTTGTAATTACACACATGTCCGATTATATTGATAAGTATTACACTAGTTGGTACTAGCTCATAATTGTTGGTAGAGCCATAGAGCTGAACCATATTCTCCTAGAAAAGTTGGCTTCCTAATTGCATTTGTTCTAGCCTCATATGTTAGATTTTAATTAAGAGTGCTTGAGGATGGCATGTAGTGTGGAATAGCCAAACGTATTTAAACTGAAAAGCCACACTTATCCAAATTAAGTAGTACTACTGTACTGTTTGTGTAGCGTACAGTTCAGGTAAAGCTCGAAGCAAACATTAATAATATCCAGAAAGCAGTACATTAGTTTTCAGTTGTCGATCAGATGCTTCATGCTTGCTCACCGTACACTTGACACGTCCAGGCAACAAGTAGTGGTTCAAACACGTTTGTCAGTACTGACCATATGCTCATGCTCACGGTAGGTGAAATGGAACAAGGGAGAAAAGAAAGAAACGAAAAAGCTGCTAAAAAAGTGTAACGGACCATGTGCATGCATTAAGTCTTTTATTTTCCTTTTGTACGACCACAACTCATTTTCTTTACTTAAGAAGAAAATGTGGCTGCTTGGATGTATCAGGCTTCACCCTTTCGTGCCTCTCTGCAGAAATTAAGTAGCGTTTTGCAGTTGTAGAGAGGTAGTAAATGTATGGACTAATGGTCCTCGGAATGTACTCTCTCCCGGATTACTCGTTGCAGAAATGGATAATGCGACAAATAATTCGAGGCCGAGGGAGTAGTACAGTACCGCATTCATGTCTTCTTGTGGATTTTGTATAAGCAACCAACTTATACTGTATACGTACAGCTTGAGCTCCACGGTTATTAGTCGCCATCAGCTGCGAAGACCGGAATTAAGAGGGACCGGCGGGCGATTGGAGTACAGTTGGTGACAAGACAAAATATAAAAAAAACTAACTTCCCATCAATGGCTAAAAAGGAATTAACAGCACTCACCATGACATAAAAAAGGAATTCTGAACTTGCCTAGCTGCATCGTCCCATTTGCCTTGGCGGCGTAGTGCGTGTAAACAAGGATGCTATCAGCAGAAATACTGTGAGAAAAATGTGTTGACCGGTGGCATCAACTCTCGGCAGCTCGAATCGTGGGTGCTTCCGTTTCCTTTGCTCGTTCACTCGATTTGTAAAGCAAGATGCACCAAGATCGTCCGTGTTTGTTAGGTTCTCAAAGTGTCGGTATTGAACATGCTTTATCTTATACGCACTCTTTGACATGACTGACGAACCGCTCGGTGTTAGGTGATCACTGACAGTGACCAATTTATTTATGACAAGCACGCGATAGTAGGACGGCAAAAGTGGCTCATGTGAAGAAGTTGCGCACGAGGCCATGGACCGTAGCTGGTACGTATGTGTATGCCAATACCATAGCCCACAACAACCGAGCGAGCGACATGTGGATAAGGTGAAGCACCCGATGGCGCAATCAGCTTAGGCCATTTCTAATGGATCTCCTAAAAGGTAGAGGACATAAAGTTCACTAACGGTGACCGCATGTAGCCGATCTTCTATAATTAGTGAAGTAAAAATAAAAGGGCTTATTCCATCTGTGCCCCCAATTTCTTAGTTGTGCTCAGTTTTCCTCACGCTTCAAACTTTTGCTCACTTTTCTCCATTCCCTTAACTGAAACTCTCACAAATGTTCATAACAGACGTTTGCCGTCTTGGCCGTTAACTGACTTGTGGGGCCACGTTGGACTCTATTGACTGTGGCTGTGGCTTCGCTGGTTGGGCCGTGTTTGTGTTCATAGGACGGGCCCGTCAGTTTGTTGGTAATAAATTAGAAAAGCCTGCTATCGATGGATGCAGCCTGCTATGTATGCCTGGCTTTGGCATCGATGTAGCCTGCTATGCATGCGAACACCGCCACGCACGCATCTAGTGATCTAGACCTAATCGCATGCATGCACGCCGACACGCACGCATCGATCCGTGCCGCACGGTTGCTGGTGGATTCAGTCGCTCCGCAGCGTCGTTTCACACGTCGCAGGCATACGTGCCGGTGGCAGAAGGGGCAGGCTGCACGCACGGTCGCGTCCATATGTCGAGGCATTGGTTCACGCCGCAGGCTGCACGCACGCTCGTGAATGGGAGGCAGGCAGCCGCCAACGCAGAGAACACGGAAGGGGAGGCAGGCAGCCGCCAACGCAGAGCACGCAAAGCATGCTCGCATCGATTCACGTTCACACATTGATGATCGCATCGGTTCACGCACGCACTGAGTCACGATCTACGCCGGCCGTTTGCGCGTGTACCCACTTCATTTTCCCCGGCTATTTAAACTGCCCTCCATTGCCTCTTCTTCTACAGATCCATCTGCGCCTCCAACTTCTTCTCTTCTTCCCCCAAAAGCCAAAGCCGTTCCACTCAGCGAAGCGAGCAAGATGCAGTACAACGGGCCAACGTTCCAAGCGCTGCCCATCGTGCCAGAACGGCGGTACCCCGCCAACGTCGTCGTCGAGGAATCCCTTCGCGTGTGGGCGTTCTCCCGCTGGAGGGGAAGCACTGAGCTTGCACGGGGGTTCCTCCGTGCGGGCTTCCACCACCTCCCGGCGGGCTCGCCGCCCATGTTCAACCTCGTGGAGCAGCGTCCCCACGCCAACGCTCCAGTGGTAGGGCTCGTCGTCCACTTCACCAACAGGTTCGATGCCTACTACCTGCTCGGCAAGGTGTATTGGTGTGGGTGCGAGTTCATCGCATTCACGACCTATAACATCTTCACCAACTTCGAGAGCATCTTCCCCGCTCGCAATCACATGCACAGCCTCCCGTACTACCTCGGCGACAACGGCCTTGAGGAGGAGGAGTACTGAAGCCGGTGGCGAAGAAGACGGTGTTGCCCTAGCTACCCTATCTATCTACTATGTAGTGTGAGTTTGGTGTGTGTGTTGCTCGAGCTATCTATGTAAGGTTAAACTATTATCTATCGGTGTCTATGTAAGAACTTATGTTGCCCTAGCAACCCTATCTAAGTTAAGTTATGTGTGTTATATTAATGCTTTGTTATGTTTGTATTTTGTTTGTCCCAAGTTTAGACACGGCTAATTGGCGTGGGAAAAATTAACCAAACAAACTAAAAATGATGTGTTTATAGATGCCTTCTAAAAATAAGAACATATTGTATATTTGTACACAGCTTTGGTTTGAGAGCTCTGTATTTTTTTAGGTATTCAAAGGATACTTTGGTTTTCAGAAATATTGAAGTATCAAATACTTTGAGATATTTGGCTTTAGTCAAAAGTGTAGTTTTAACTACACTATGTTTGAAATATATAAAAAACAGGGTTAGACCTCTTTTTCTAATCATGAAGTATTGGTTCGCTAGGCATAATAATACTGCGATTTGCAAATACTTTGATTCTAAAAAATGAAGGGACCAATAAAGGAAAGCCAAAAAAATTCCTCAATGAGATAGAAGAGATTGGGCAATCAAATTAATGAAAAAAGCAATCAGAAACAAAAAAGAACAAAGCAATCCTTCCTAAACAAAAAAAGAAACATCGCTTGTTTCTGGGCTTCTTTTTGGGCCAACGAACTAGGTTTTTTTAGCAGAACTGACGAACTCGAGGACAAAAGTTTGGCAAGTGCGAGAGAGAAGAGATGAACTTGATGTATATTCCTTGTGCTGCTCAAGTACTACTTACTGTCATCTGACGAGCTATGGTATGATCCAATACTCGAGGTTATTAGCTAACAAAATAATCCTATCACTGAACTAGTAGTTGTTTTCTGCCGAAACTGAAAGTGTCGAAACTTAACAGTAAACTGCATACATTCAGTGATCGACAGTTGCACTAAACAGAGTTGCATTTGAGATAAACAGACTTGGATTCCTAAACAGTGGCAACAACAGTAGACAAACATCTCTAACGAGAGATGGCCATCAAGTAAAAAAATTCCTAGAGCAAGTATTCCTAAAGCTATCAGATTGGATAGCTTCTTCAACTCAATCAGCTGCTTGAAGTTCTTGTTCATCTTCTTCAATTCCGTCTTCAGTTCGACATCCACCACCGTCGGGTATTCCGGACGCGCTACTGTTGCCGGAGCGACACTGTCATGGGGCAGATTGGACTCGCGGATTGCATTCCCCCTCGAATCCAGCAAGCCCGACCCTTGAAGCCTCTGGATGTAATCATCCATCCACTCAAAATGGTGGCATTTCTTCACGATCTGGAAATGAAATCATGTAACCTAAATCCAAATCTGACAGATTTTTTGAGAAAGTAGAGATAAAGGATGCGAGGAAAACTTAGATCTAACCCGCCCCTCCGGCTTGCTCTCGCATTTGACGAACTCACGCCCAAAGTTCCCATTCTTCTTCTCCTTCGAAGTCAACCGCTTCAGTGGCGCAGTCCGTGGGCAGTCAGTGCATCGAGTCATCGGCACTGGACCATACACTGGCCACGTGGAACGGGGGGCTTACGAGGAGGTCGACATATCGCCCGAGAGGAAGAAACAGAGGAATTGCTCGAGAGGAAGAAGAACGAGAAGATGGGGAAAGAAACAGAGGAATTGCTCCATCTGCTCGATGCCTTTGTCTGTCAGATGGAGAAGAGGATAAGGGGAAGCTATATTGATGATTTGCCACATTGTATTTTGCAGTTTCAATTTTTGAACCAACTCTTAACATTGACATGTGGAGGTCATGTGCGAAAAATACAATTTCATATGTAAAGTGGGGCAGATCGTAAAAAACCCGAGAAGGACAGTGCAGTAGCCAATCACGATGCATCACGCGGATCGCGCATGCCTGCCCCACATCTGACGGGTGGTGTTTGGCGCTTGGTAGGATCTGACGGCGCACATTCGACGCTAGGGTTTGGAGCATTTCTGCGGGGTTATGAGTGAGTCAACGGGGTTATTAGGGTTTGACCAGATTTCAAATGGCCATAACTAAATTAGAAAAAATCGCAAAAATATAAAACAAACGTAGTTCGTCTGTTTATGAGACCTAGTTACCATAAAAAAAATATAAACTCAGTATAGGGACGTTTTTTTGAAAAATCATTTTTTGAAGTGATCTGTCGAAATCAAGTTCAAATGTTTTTAAAAAAATTCAAAAAAATCAAAATGTTGTAATTCTTGCGCACATAGCCGTCATATGTGACAGGGTTATGAGAAAAAAATATAAACTTGGTGTAGGTCATTTTCATGAAAAAAGTCTTCACACAAATGAGCTATCACCTATGAACATTTTCAGAGTTCGTAGAATAGGGAGAGAGGGTTTAGGGTTTGAAAAAAAATCAAAATAATTAAAAAAATCAGAAAAATCTCCATAGCTTCATTTTGGAGTGAGTAAGAAGGATCTGAACTTACTTTTTCATTTTCATATCTAAAACGTGTTATTTGACGGTTTTGAATTAAAAGCATATTTTTTTCAAAAAAATGTAGTAATATGAATATTAATCAATAAATAGTGAGACTTCGTTTTTACCCTATATATATGGAACAAGTGTTAATAAAAATATATATGCCTCATTTAGGCAAGGCAAAAAAACTTGATTTCAAATAGGGCTGTTTACCCTAGTTTTCGAGCTCGTTTCTAGCACATTTCTCATTCGGACTGTTCACCTATGAATATTGGACTTCAAATGCTCGATCAAATACACCGCACAGAGCAATGAACCTCCAATGTTCAACTTCAACTTTGACTCGAATCCAAATTTTGGCCCAAATTCAAATATTGATTTAAATTCAAATTTTGATGGAAATTTGAATTCTGACTCAAATAAGAAACCAAAGTAGAAGCAACATTATTACAACTGATAAGTTATCACAGTAGCTCAAATCTACCAAGTTTTAAGATGCCAACATCTTAATACAAATCTACCAAGTTTTAAGCGATCCACTCGCCCTCAAATTGACAACACAAATATTTCCCAACAACTTAATTCAAATTTTCGACTTGCTCCTTGTGTTTGCAGCTGGCTTCACCGTCTTGCTCCTGGTTTCCCTAGTTGAGATGCTTTTTTCTTTCAGACTCTTGTTCCTTTTGATCTTGGGCTTTACTTGGGGTTTTCCTCGTGGAGGTGCTGATGGAGTAGTTGCACTCGCCGAGCACTTGACGACCATTTGATGGTCATCTATGGGTTCAGTAATCTTTAAAGGCACAATTGGAAAAATTACGCCCTCCTCTTCCTCTCTTATAGATTCAAAACCATCAAAGGCCATGGTTTCAAAATCTTCTGCTTCTTCATCTCTTGGCCTTTTCTCCCTAGAGCTGGTAAATAAAATTATAAGCCATAGGCAAAAAAGAGAACAAATGCAAACAAAAGGGTAGCTGCATTCTACAAAGGGTGCAAACACATACCAAGATGCTTCATTTGCTGCTGAATTCTCCACTGCTTCATTTGCTGCTGCATTCTCCACTGCATCTTCAGTCTCCATTGCTGTTGCATTCACCTCAGCATTGGCTGCTGTCCATCTTTCCTCCTCTCCAAATGATGCATCCACTGCATTGGTACAAAGCCTAGCAATATGCCCCAGAACTCCACATTTTTTGCAAGCATGCTTCTTTGGTAGACGACCCTCCTCACCTGCTCTAATCCTTTGGTTCCTTGGTCTTCCTGGTGGTCTAGTAATGACAGGAGCGTGGAGTTTGAACCCTGGATCTACTATGTTCCATTGATCTTTCCCCAATAGTGCAGGCACATTGTCAGCATAAGCAGCCATAAATTTGGCAACAGAGAAATACTCAAAGCAATATTGATCAACTTCACCATCTGCACCCCCGATAACGGTCATCAGATGTAGGGCATGTATGCATGGCTTCCCACGGATCTTCCATTGCCTACAGGTACATTCTCTAGTACTTAGGTTCACAGGATACCTCCATACCCTATTTTTAGTGTCAGTATAGGTAACCTCTCCCTCATATGTACCAGATCGAATACATTTCATCTTTAGTCCTCTTGCCTTCAAGTGCAATGCCTTAATCAGTGATGGGAGCATTTGATGACCAACATATTGTGTTTCTGCAATTCTTTTGCGAAGAGCCATCTTTATCATGATCATTTTGCCTCATCTTGTCAAATGCTTGCCACAACAAGAGCCCTTTCACTGACTTGAACTTTGAATTGAAGCATTCTGCAAGGTTACTGGTCACATAATCTACTTTGCGGATTTCGTTTAATTTGCTTCTTGACCACACCTTGCCATGATGTGCATCCATGTACTCCTTCACAAGAGGATTTTGAGCATACAACACTCTCAAATGGTGTTCATGCTTCCTTTTGCTGCATGTGTATGATGCTGGCCATAAGTTCTCATCATAAACTTTACCTTTAAACTTCTTTTTGAAATTATGTGCTAGGTGTCGCATACATTCCCTATGCTCCACTCCAGGGAATACAATTTCCACTGCACTCTCTAAACCCTTGCAAGCATCTGTGTGTATAGCTAAACCTGGGGGTGTGCCTATAATGTTGCGCAACTGCTGTAGAAACCAGACCCAACTTTCCTCAGACTCTGCCTCCACCACACCAAATGCAACTGGGAATAGCCAGTTGTGTCCATCAACTGCAGAAGCTGCTACTAGCTGTCCTCTCCATCTTCTAGTCAAATGTGTAGCATCTACAGCCAAATAGGGTCTGCAACCATCTAGAAACCCCTGCCAGCAAGCCTTGAAACAAACAAAAGCCCTTCTGAAGCACTCCTTCTGAAATGACTTCCCTTTTATTTTGAATGGAACTTTATGCTTGTCAATCTCTACAACACTCCCTGGACTTGCCATCTCCACTTCAGCTTTGAAAGTGTAAAGCAGCTGAAAACTGTCATTCCATTGACCATTAATTCTGTCAAGAGCCTTTTCCCTACCATTGAAAATTCTCATGTAAGGAATTTCTATCTTGTACTTCTTAAAAAGCTTCCCATGGAGTGATGTTGGACCAAGTCCAGGTTCTTCTCTCAGCCAATCCAATATAGCATCTGCCACCCACCTAGTTTTTGCTAGCTTGGTTTTGGCCTTCCCCCCTCCCCCTCCAGGTGGACAGGTGTGCTTGTGTGGGTTATTCTTTATCTGAAACAAAATAAAAGGGTAAAGAACAGTTAAGAAACCTTACTCAACGATCTGAAACTAAATTACTAATTGAACTTGGATTACCTAAATATATTTGCTCTTTCTCATACGAGATGCATGCAACTTCCATCTACACCTAGGATATGTACAAAAAACTGTGAACCTTGCTGGCTCACTCCTTTTAATCTTATAGGTGTTTTTCAGATATAATGCACCATGTTGTCACTGCATTCCGACAGTCCACCATTGATTGGAAAATGGTACCTACACTAAGCTCAGGTTTTTCCCTGTTCCACTCAATTGTTGGCATGTCATCACCATCGTATTCATCCTCGATTAAGCTGTCCATGTTCTCCACCTTCTCTTCATCGTCAGTGTCATCAAACCTAGCTTGGCTGATGGGCTCCTCCATATATTCGCCATCCACTGCTTGCTGACTGGCTACATCAACCAGTTCAGGAAATATCATCTCGTCTTCATCATCATTTGTAGGCACTACCTCGTCAGGTTCTGCATCTTTTTCTACACCAACTGCAGAAGGTACACGAGAAGCAGTAGCTGAAACGGAACCAGAATTGGCAGCAGGCATGTTGTGGCTCCATGAACCACTTGCTTTACTTGGTGTCGACCTACAAGGAGTGCCGGGGTGCTGGCTATTAGCATAGACAGATGATGTCTGAACTCCCTTCCCCTTCGCCCATTCTACGCGTGGCTGAAGCACATCGATTTGGAGTTTACCGAATCGGCAGCCAGCAATCCCAGCAAAAAGCAACGGCATATGATCGTCGCAAGTTAGTGGGAGAAATCTTTGCTCGTCACTGCTGAAGTAATTCAATTCAACAACATCGGCATCACTCCAGGGATAGGTGTTTCGGAGCTCAGCTCGCAAATCTTTGAAAGACATGCTGGTTTCTACCACTTTGGGATAGAAAAATGATGAAACCAAATGCGGTTTAGTACCACACAGCACACTAGTTTCCATTCTAATCGCCAGCAGGAAAGCCAGCGCGGGATCAATCCTATTTTGCTGGGGAAGGAAACAAAGGCTTCAGTTAGCTGGGTAAAATCAAGCACAAATTCGAACGATTCAAGCAAACAGAAGTCAAATACGGCCTACAATACGACTTAGAACGTCAATTTGAGAGGAAACAATGCTTACCCAGGTTTAATCCATGAATTATCTCCCGCGGATTCGACCCAATCCTCTCCATGATCGACTGCATTCCGGGCGTCCTCACTCAACATCGCTATGTAATCCCAGATGGGGGGGTGGGCTATATCTGGCAGAGACACGGCGTCGCCGACGAACGAACGAGGGCATAGGGTGGAGGAAACAACTGCGGTGGACGCGGCAAGACGCCGA